TACACCTAGAGAATGAGCCTGAGTGGTCAGAAGTAACTAACAGGGGACTAGGATAGAACTGAAAAACAAATTTCTAATAGTCAAGTTAAGTTTTCTTACTGCCCTAAGGACTCTAAGTGGACTCTCACATTCCCAAATCAGAGAACTGTTTGACAGTAAGTAATGAAGAATAAAGAATGCAACTTAAAAAAAAAAAAAAAAACTTAATTAATCCTTTCAACACTATAAAGAAAAAAAAAAACCCTGAGTACTTAAGTTCCGCATTGAAGTATTCCAGAAAGCCTATGTAACCAGCAAAAACAGTAGGCGCTAATCCACTACGTGCCAGATGCTATTCTCAACACTTTATATGTATTTGTTTGATCTTTTTAATTCTATTAAACGGATAACTACTCTATTCACTCATATCTCAGATGAGTGAACTAAAATACACAGAAGTTAAAAAGCTTGCCTAAGATCATACAGTTTGCGATAGACCCAAGTTTCCGAAACAGGCAGTTTTTAAAAAGTAAGGTCAAAGAGAAAGATCAAGTAAGTTTCAAAAAAGCAGGTCAAGGAGCCAAAAAACAAAAGCCTGGAAAAAGTATAGATATGTTATCTCAATTCAAAATATATATTAAACTACAGCAAACAGTAAATAATAATAGATTACAACATAAAAATATTAACAGATGCGAGCATAATAGTAAATATTAACAGATAATTACAATGAGTTGGTTTGAATGAATTGCCATTAATCATTTTTTTAAGAATTTTTTTTTAAAGATTTATTTATTTATGCTTACACAACTGAGGCAGAGGCCAGAGGTGTGGTGGGTGAGAGGATTCACCAGAGACAGAGCAGGGAGCAGAATAGGCAGACTGACTAAGTACACTGCGGAGAGGAGCAGCAGGTGAGTCAGAGGAGGTCCGCCACACAATGTGGGTCACCTCCCTGGCTGGGGATCAAACTCGGCTGCAGTGGTAACTGAGAGCTTCATAATGTGATGCTTTAACCTGTTGCACTACCAGGGAGAACCCTTTAGAATTTTTTTTAAATTTATTTAGTTATGCATACAGAGCTGGGGTACAGGCTAGAGGGCAGAGGCCATGAGAGGATTCACCAGAGACAGTGAGGAGCAGAACAGGCAGATCCAAGAAGTACACTGCTGAGGAGCTGTAGGCAAGACAGGAGAGAATCGCTAAGCCCTGTGGATCATCTCCTGAGCAGAGGACTAAACGCACACTGAAGCAGCTGTGGCTAGCTTGCACTGCTGTGCCACCAGGGAGGGGCCAGTATTATCAGTTTTAACAAAAATACTAAACTACAAGAACTTTACAGCACTGTTCTATAGTAAATGCTTCTTCGGTTTCACTGTAAAAACAAAAAGGCTACAACATTGGAAAACAAAAAAGCTACAACATTAGAGGGTTTTTTTGTTTTTTAAGGAAAAAGCATCTATCAAGACAAATAAACCTCTTTCCAAAATGATATCTGCCTGTGACAAAAGATTACTTACTTTTAAGGAAGTTTATCTCTCCCTGTCCTTTCCAAATCTAACTACAATTTACAATCATTTAAGGACCTTTTAAAGCACCATGCTGAGGAACCACTCCAGACCAATACATTAGAATATCTGGGGATGAATCTAAGTGTTTTTAAAAGTTCCCCAAATGATTTTACTGTGTCATCAGGGTTGAGAACTATGTTGTAAAGAAATCAAAACCCTGGTGATGGGAAACCCGCGGGGATTGCAATCGAGATGGGAAAAAAAATTTGCAAAATGATGTAAAAATAAACTTTGTAATAAAATAAAATAAAGGATACAGAATGCTGAAAAAAAAAATCAAAACCCTTCTTGTTATTACTTCATACAAAGCTTTTGTCCATAATGCTTTACAAAAGTATTCAGTCATCGTATTCAAGTATTCAATCAAATTGGAAACAACTGATTAAGATAAATAGGCCCCGCCTAGTTCGTGCATCAACTATAAGAACGCTTAACCCGTAAGTTAGACAAAATTCAAGGCAGAAGAATTCCACTGATATTTTGGAATAACAGCAATTTCAATCAACACATCAAATATGCCCATGATCAAGGTGTTTCTACTTTTTAAACCCTAGATTTTACAATCTGTGAAATTGTCCCATCCTTTCTAATGCTCTTAGGAGCCCAAAATTTAAAACAAACAAAAAACAGAAGACGACGACTCACTGAAACAACTGTCAACCTTGAAACAAAGACTGAAATGACATCTTAGAAAAACTAAACAAGGATTTCTTAAATTGAACTTTAAGATTGTATAGTTCCTGGCAAAGAAAATCTTTCTCATGCTTTTATGCAAAGGATATCCCTCAACAAGTGAAAACTGCAGAAGAACTGAAATTCAAACTTACATGCCTAAATTTTTAACTGAGCTACTTGGAGTTTTACATCAAAACTATAAAGCTTCTAAATCAAATGTTAAAAGATCCTGTTGTGTTATTCAAAACTCTTGAGGACAGATGTGCTACACAATGTTTGAGATTTCAGAACCATTAATAGAGCATTTATATGTCTCTATTAATACCTAAGCATACCCTCAAGGGTCTAAAACAGAACCAATAGTCAAACATTAATATGCCAGCAGCAAAATATAACTTATTTATATTTTCAAAGGTTGTTAGCAGTCTCCTGTCAGTATAAGTCAGCAAATTACTTCTTTCTCAGAGCTTTGGGTGAACCTGCAATTCAAAATTTCTCTGATATTTAAAATACTACAAATGAACTTTTAAAAAAGGCATTATGAAGAAAATAGCCTTTTAATACCACTGCAGTTCTAAAGGAACACCTCAATGATTATAGCAGACCCACGAAAGTCGAAATGATGTGCACCAATTTTCATAATTATTAGAATAGCATTCAGTGTCCACCTTAATGTTCACAATTTAATTTCCAGCAAGACCAAATATATCAACATGTGCATGTTTAGCAAGTCTGAATAGCATTCAGTGCCCACCTTAATGTTCACAACTTAATTTTCAACAAGACCAAATATATCAACATGTGCATGTTAAGCAAGTCTGAAGGAAAGAGTCATGTAAAAAAGGGCAAATCAACACCTAACTTTCTAACAATATGCAAACAACAGAGGGCTTTGAAGCTAAACAGACCAATGTTCTAATCCAAGATCCACTACTCAGGTAATTTACTGATAGTCTCTAAACATGTAAGATGGAGGAGATATTAATAGTAGCTAGCCCATCATGTTTTTAAGAGGACTAAATAACATCTGAAGTTCATAACATAGAAATGGTTGCTATTAATTCCTGACCACTTTCCCAAAGACCAGATATAAGCTAAAGAGACTCAAATACGACATAATTTAGGAGGCAAATTTTATAATACAAAATCCGCCACAAAAAAAAAAAAATTACTTTTAAATTTCAAATATCCAGTGTGGATTAAAATGACTAATTTCTGAAGTCAGGGTTGCTTCTCAAAACACATTCTAACCAGACCTACCTATCTTCCCAATACCCTTTTTATCTCCCACACAGCCAACTGCAAACAAATGGTGATGAGTGAAAAATACTGTACTGAAATGGTACTTTTAACTCAAAAAATAAAAATCCCAGAAGAATAGTCTAGGTTTTGAAAATAAGAAAAATCATTACGGTATTATGACCTATCCCTTACATACAACCACTGTCTAAAGAATGCATATAGTTCAAATACAAAGGAAAAGAAGGTACAATAACCCAATATGTAATTTTCACAAAACTATCCCATAAATTAGAAAAATGGTTAAGACTGTTATCTAGGTAGACTTTTGCACTTAATGGATATTTAAATGCACTGTCAAGTGTACTCAAAGATGGGATACTTTTTAACTATTTATCCTAACTCAATTTAATTCCATTATAGAAATCAAGAATTTTACAAAGCATTCAGTCTGAAAACAATTGCTCAACTATTCAGTGCTTCACTGCTAACTTTCCTCAAAATACAGTATATAACCTGGAGAAGTACACCTCCACCACATCCAAGTCAAAATATTTAAGCAAGTTAGCCAGCTCCTGTGAAACACAAAGTTCCCCCTAAATGTTAATACTCAAAACCTACCACTTACTGTTAATAGTGTCATGAATAACCTACAAGGACCTTGCAGTTCCAACTAGCTTTAAGAATATCACCTGCCATATGTGCTAAAAGAGTGCAACAAATGGAATCCAAACTTTACTCAAGCTTAAAATGCTAGAAAAGAACCCCTACTGTTCCGTGTTCTAATTCTATGGTATTTAATGTGAAAAGAACTAGAACTAAAAGCAATGGACCAGAGCTACCTCACAACTGTCTGCAAGACGGAATTCTTCATACTTGCACTTTTCCCGTCATCAACAGGAAACTCCAAAGAAAAGGAAGTAGAGGAAAATCTAATTTCGCTATGGGAATAACGGCACTACTTGCAAACCCCAGAATCTAAGCGAACAAATGAAAAGGCAATGCAAGGGACGGGAGGGAGGAGGTGCAGGAGGTGAGCTCAGTCGGTGTCTCAAACCTGCCACCCAGCTCAGACAGCGCCTGGAACACCCGTAAGGACAGCTACAACACGGAAAGGAGAGGTGTGGAAGAGGGACCACGGCTTGGGAGCTCAGACCTTAGGCTTCCTCCTTTGCCAACTCTTCTCTCACCTCCCAATTCCCATCCTCCCCATCCCATGCCGCCCCCTCCATAAAGAAAAAAATACCCAATAAAACCAGAGACGGAGAAGACAAAGAAGCAGCAGGAGCCTGCAAAAAGCGTCCAGAACAATGGGGGAGGAGAGAACGAAGCGAAACTCCGGACGAGGACAACGAAGAGCGGCAGCGAAGACCCCGTAAGGTACGGAGGGAAACAACGCGGAGCCCGGGGCCCGCCGGCGGCGGACGCCTAGACGAGAGGCCCGGGCGCGGAGGGCCGGGCCGGGCCGGAGTGGCGCGGCCCGGAGGGGCTGGCGGGGCCTGCGCGGGTCCTCAGGCAGCTGCCGTCGGGACTCACCGGCATTCTGGTCTCGGGGCCAGAGGTAGTATGTGGCCGGGATCACGATAAGCCCCACGAAGGAGGTGAGAAAGTAGAAGAAGGTGTTCCCGCTGTCATCGTACTGGAACTGCTGCCCCGCCATGACACCCCCTCCTCCGCCTCCCTCTTCCCACCGCCGCCGCCACGACCCCGCTCGGCGCTCTGACTCCCGGCGCCACGGCCCGTGTGGCGTAGCTCGGACGCTGCCGCCGCCGCCGCTATCCCCACCCCCACGAAACTCCACTCGCCGCCGCCGCCACTGCCCTCGCCTGCTCTCGCGAGAAGAGGCCTTTTTCCCACCCGGCCTTGCTTTACCTCCCACAACCCCTCCTCCTCCTCTTCCCTCTCGCTTGCTTAGGGAGACGTGTACGTACGCAGCCGCCGTCCCGCTCTTAGGCCCACCCCCTAAGCCAAAGCCCCGCCCCTGTCAGTTCTCCTGTAGGACCCGCCCCTCGCTCTAGGGTCCCTCCCCTTCCTGTACTTTTTTTTTAAAGATTTATTTATTTATTCATACAGAACTGGGGTACAGGCCAGAGATGCGGAGGGTGAGAGGCTTCACCAGAGACAGAGTGGGGAGCAGAACAGGCAGATCGGGAAGTATACTGCTGAGGGGAGCAGCGGGCAGGTCAGGAGCGGTCTGCTGTGCCATATGGGTCACCTCTGGGGCTGGGGATCGAACTCGCGCTGAAGCGGCTGCAGTTCGCCAGCAGTACCTGTCCTGCCACCAGGGAGGACCCCCTTCCTGCACTTTTCTCTGCGTGCTACTTCCTGTCTCCCTAAGATTTCAAGCTGAGGAGTGAAGGCGATTTGTTCACCCGTCTGTGACTGGGAACAGAGGCATTTTGGAACTAGAGTCGAGCTTCCTCCTCTAGTTCTACCTGCCCAGTCCTGCCCTTAGATCTTTGTTTCCCTAGTTAATAATGTTCCCTGAGGTTCTGGAGCCGCTGCTCAGGCCCCCACATTTTGGAAACAATCATTCAGAATAGGTGGGCGAAAGAGAAAATGGAGTGGGGGTTGTATGTAATGAGATTGGGGGTGGGTGGGTTGTAGTTTTGTGTGCAAAGGAACGTTTGCTAGAAAACACTGCAATCTACACTGCGCCCATTGTGCAGATGGAGAGCCGTCCCCCCCACCCAAGTAAGTAGAAATGGTGACCTACCCATCCCAGAGCTGATATTTATAGTCACCAGGTTTACAGCATTTTCTACAACCCAGGCAGCAGAGTAAGACTTTTATTGCTTTATGTACATCAATTAACTACCAGTAAACCCCATGGAAAAAAATCAACGCAGGCCTGATCTCCAGAAGAAGGTGAGGCAGATTGTCTAGTCACACAACGTAAGTGAGTGAGAGTCCAACCCAGCTCACTCTTGACGCCACAAAGACAATGCTTGAGACCACCACTTGGCCGTGGACCTTAACATCTCTCCCAAAGCAGCTGGTTTTCCCGCAGGGTGTGGGCAGGAATCTGTGATTCTATTAGGGACGGCTGGTGTGGGCAGCAATCTGTGATTCCATTAGGGACTAGCCCTGGCGCTTGGAAACTTCCCTTCCTCACTGGCTGTGAGATCCAGCGGTGAGCTGTCGCGGGAGCTCAGTGCACTTATCTGGGAATGACCCTATGGATCTCGCAGCCCTGCTTGCAGAGACCTGGTGCAGCGTCTCCATCGCCCCTCTGTGGAACAAAAGAAAAGGCACTCAGGGTGACTGATGTAAAAGAATCACAATGAAAATGTTTGTCAAAAAAAAATTATGTAGTTTTCAATTATCATTTATTATGTTGTACTTTAACTCATTTTAAGATTACCTGGTTACGCAGTTCCTTTCAAAATGCCTTCCACGATTGCCTGTCCTTTTATAACCTTAAAACTAGCATTTATCATTTTCAAAAGTCCTGCCTACCTACTTTGAAAGGAAATTTCAGAAAATCATCTCTGTTTTTCCCTCCTCACTTTTTACTCGTATAATTTTCCCAGACTATCTTAGAAGGGAAATTAGAGAAGTGACGGGAAGAGGATTGAACTATGAAGTAAGAGCACTCCTGTCACTGACATGCCCGGAACCATCTGTCTTGCTTCATAAATAACTTAGTCATAAACTGGGCTCGACTGAAGTGAATAGGATCCTGATGTTCGTTTTATGTTAAATTTGTTATTGACTTTCCAGGTTTTAATGATGCTGAATTGGTTGTTTTGTTTTTTTTTTTAACTTTGATTACAAATTTTACTCAGTATTTGTGTAAAAATAGTATGGATACATCAGGACCTTGTGGAAGTATAAATTACTAATAGCAGTATTCCCCTCTAACTTTTTTTTCCTGCAAAAGGATAATAAGTATTCCCCTCTAGCTTTTTTTTCTGCAGAAGCAAACTTTTCACTGCAGCTTTGAGGTCATGCAGAATAGCGTGTCTTGAATAGAACTGAACAGGAAACATTTTGAACAAATCACATTTATTTGCTCATCCCAAACCAATCTAAAATACGCATTTTTTATCAACATAGATCAAAGATTTGAAAATGTATTTTCAAAAATATATGTATATTTTAGCCTAGAACTTAATATTACTGAACATAAATTCAGCTCACCAAAATATTCTTCAAGCAAATCTAAACCATACCTTTAATTTCTTCACAATTTCTGCTTCATAAGTATTTTAAACTAATGCAATTGTTCCTTTCAAGAGATCATTTTAATAAAATATTTATATAGTAAATAGACATGGTAGAACCAGGGCCACAAATATATTTTGTCATTAGTCTAATAGTACATGTTTAAATGCATTTTGTATTTTCCCTACAAGTACCTGTATATGAAGTACTTGTATATGAATATTTTAATCAATTTTAATTGCTAGGTAGATATTTCCTCTTAAGGATAGAAAGTCTGACAATTTATAGCTTGATAATTTGCTTGTTAGGATGAATCTTCATTGTAAGTCATCGTTGTGGTACAGGTGTTAACTTACAATTACATGCCAAAATACATTTGTGTAGCTATAATAAACATTATTTAATTTCTACTTTAAAAAGTTAGCTGCTAGGCCCTCCCTAGTGGCGCAGCAGGTTAAAGCGCAGCACTAAGAATTGAAAGCCACTTCCGCATGAGTTTGATCCCTGCCTGCCCTGGAGGTGACCCACATGGCATGGCAGAGTGGCAGACCTCTCCTGACCCACCCGCTGCTCCCCTCAGCAGTGTGCTTTGTCGATCTGCCATTCTGCTCCCCACTCTGTCTCTGGTGAATCCTCTCACCAACTCTGCACCTCTGGCCTGTACCACAGTTCTGTATGCACAAATAAATAAATAAATCTTTAAAAAAAAAAAGTTAGCTGCAAAAAGACTGAAAAGAATCAAATTATTAAGTAAGTACATGCAATCCTTTCTAGTCTTTTTCCCCTCCTGCTCCCAATAATAACCATCATTGCCAAAGTTTAGCAAATCATCTCTAATTTTAAACCCTATTTCTTTGTTCTAAAGTTCAATTTTGTACCATTAAGAGCAAAATCTTCTCTGATACAAAGTAATCTATTCTTTTAATTTTTCCTTAATAGAAGTGAAAAGTTATCTCATCATACTTACAGATATATACAAAAAAAAAAGATATCTGCAAATTCTTAGGAGTCATTTCTTATAGCAGAGAGAAGCAGAAAACTTAAAGGAAGAGGTGACAATTGAGGCAGGCTTTAAGACATAAATAGAATAGAAGAACATAATAGAGTAGAAGAAACCAGGTGGAATCTGCTCAGAGTACATTTGGAAACTAGCAGGAAGTTCAGTCCTGTAAATAGGAATAGCAGAAATGGAAAATGCTTTTAAGTTCAACTTGTGATTACATGCTACAGATTAGCAACACTGCCTTTAAAATGAACTTTGCTAAAGGAGTACATGAGTAGGAGCTATCAGATCTTCTTTGGATGCCTCAAAACAGAAAGAAATTGCTTATTTTAAGTACAGCCCTAAGAAAATAAGAGAGTAGTCACCATTTCTACTATGTTCTTCTTTCTTTTTACCCAGGAAACAGTGTCTACTTTTTTTTAAACAATCAAGTCTTCTCAAGGTCTAATACAAAGGCTACTAGTGGAAGATGGCAGTGAGGGTACAGACAAATCAGGGAGGGTCTTGATGTAGGACTGTGGGGGCTTTGGTGGTGGGGATGATATGGTGACATCTGAAGAGGTGTGAACCCCTTCCTTTATATCCTACACAGTGTTTTAAACCAATGTTATCTCAAGACTCTTGGACATCCCCTACAGATTCAGTACATTCAATTCATTTTAGTTTCTGATGATCAATGGACAAGTTGGCAAGAGACTGTAAGTGTTAAATATATGAACAAACTTGTCCTACAGGTTAGGTTGCTGACTTGCATTGATAGGTAGTTGGACATGGCCAGGCCTTTATGACAGAACTCTACCCCACAAGTCTTACCAATCCAGGAAGCCAAAACATAACCTCTTTGGCACTCAGCCCAGGCTAGATCAACTGCCAGCTCCCCAGTTGTTTGATCCCATTTTCATATGAAGATCAACTGGGCAAATATACTATGTAAAGCAGTCACACGGATGCCCCTAGTTAGCCTGCCTTCAGCTTCCCTACGACACTGATCAGAGTACGCTTGAATCCTTCCTCTCTAATAAAAAACAAGCAAAAAACTCTAAAGCTCCCCTGCTTGACTTGAGTCACACATAACAGCCAAACATTGATGTCTTAATGATCTGCCAGGTGCCTATATCTCCTGTCACCAAAATGCAAGCACCCTGGGGGGGAGGGGGAAACCCCAACAATCAGCCAACCTGAGAATCAGCTTCACAGCCTGAATCTGAGACAGGACCACAGAAATGAAAAAGCATTTCTAGCACCTAAGGAACAGTCTGTGAGCAAAGATTGTGGACTTGGTCCTTCTAATGAGTCTTTTTATAAGACTATTTCCATGTTGTCATTCCCCACTTCATGGGTGAGAAGCACTACCAAAGCTTATACCTATACAGCTATATGTTTTTCAAACTTTTAAACATTATTCCTAAAAAGAAATCTATATTAATTTAATATATTACTGAAAATGTGTCGTAAAAGAATAATTGTTACTAAGTGCAATGTGCTGTGAGATCTTTTTCTGCTATTCTATAGAACTAGCCATAGTAAACAAATTATACTTATTTATGTATAAAATCCTTAATTACATAAATACTCAATTACAGTCTGAAAGCTTTCTGAAGATGCTTGACCCTTCAGTGAGTGCTTGAACACACTTTGTGTTATCTGCTGGGAAACGATCTAAAGAATTCTTCTGGTCTAGCAATGTTAAACATTAGTTGCAGAGAAATCACCTGAAAGGTTTGTATATCCTTGGGCTTTACCTCCA